GACCTCTGGAGGCCTCGAGACTGACCCCCAAAACGACCCTGGACACCAAGGCTCAGGAGAGCTCCCTGGTTGACAATAGCACTTTGTATGCATTATCTCACATTGTTGCTGGGAGAATTAAGCACTACCTGTATACCCTGGGAGAGGACAACTGGAAGCTTGTGCATGGTTTCTCCTGGACTCTGCCCTATACCTCTTTGCCTTTACTGATTTTAGATCTGTTCACTGTAACAAACCATCACTATGTGTCTAACAGCTATTCTGAGTTCTGTGAGCCCTTCCAATGAATCATTTAATCTGAGACTGATGGAGGGGATCCCCAACATTCCCATTACACAGACACCTAAAACATATTCTTTCTAGAGTCACGCGTCAACTCAATATTATACTGGGTTGATTGTCCTGTGGGAAAGAGCATGGAGACTTGGAAGACCCCGATTCATATCATGGTTCCCTGACACGGTAGTGGTGGGGACTTGAGGAAGTCACAGATCTTCTCTACGCTGTCTCCTTTTGCCAAATAGGACAATTTCTGCTCTGTCTACGACGATGGGTTGTTACGTGAAACACATCAGATAATGTGTGTGAAAACATTTTTAAAACTGTATAGATTTTTAATTATTAGGTATTATAGACACATTTAAAACAACACTAAAGTGGAATATCAATAGCTAACACCGAGTGCTGAATTTGTGCCAGGTACTTTATGTATACTCATTTAATCTCCACTCTCTTGTTGGCCTCGTGCTATATCTTATGCAGAAATTTTGTGAGGAGAAAATTAAACAACCTTCCCAAGGCTCTGTAACTGGTAAAGAGCAAAACCAAGACTTAAGCCATAGTTTTCTGATTGCATTTACAATGCAATTCCATCCTTTTAAATACACTAGTCTCTTAAGTATGAAACACCTTCAAGATGTATAGTCTGTCATCTGAAAGTACCACAAATATCTTAGAAACAACCCCTAGATCAAGGCCACTTTAGGAAATGCACCAGTTTTACCTAAGAAAGTTTTGTTTTATTTCGTTTTGTTTTGGGTCAGGATAATCAGCAAGTAAATATATCTTGGCACACTTAAGGACATACCAGTCATCGACATACAAGGGGAGAGGGATTCACTGCTCTTGTCCCCTCTCCCTGCTCAACCAGTGTATTTTGGGCAGATTTTCCATTTTGCATACCACAACCACAATCATGACTAAAGGGAAAAATATCTTATATCCTCAGTCAAATATGTGAAGCATTTTCTATAGTCTTCTGAGATAACTGATATGTCAGTTGTGTTTTTCTATGTGAGTCAAGATAAAGACAGTATATCATTTCATTTCACTGATTAAATGAAGAGAGAGGTTTTGGGTACAGATATTAATACATAAAACAGAGTTGAAAGTGACAACATATTTTGCTGTCCCTGACACTTTGATACACATTTCTTGGCAGTCCAAGATGCCACGGGCATAAGAGACTCAATAATATAGGTCAGAAAACTTGGGCTTTCAAGCAAACATTTTTACCAGAATGACAAACAAACAAATCTGAAAACTCTGTACTTATTTCTCTAAATGTTTAGAAATTAGAATAGGAACATTTTAGAAATACTTCTTATTAAGAAATCTCTCTAATAGCATTCTTGTAGTTCTTACTTCATGTGACTTAAATATTTTATTTCCTATAACATATAAATGTTAATTTGTAATATATAATTTATAACATAATTTTGCAAAGGACTGCTTTGAATTTGTTGATGATTCCAATTCTAATCATTTCCATATACGAAGACATACATTTATCATGAAAAAAAATAAGAAGCTAAAATGGGCACTTTTAATCAAAAGATGTTATTATTTAAATATAAAGGAAATAAAATGAAATTAAGGCTATGTTTATACCCGCTTCATGAGAAAATTTTATATTAAGTTTTGTAATCAGTATCACAAACTTTCACTCATTGGAGAACAAACAGGAAGCCATTGCTGAACGTAACAGACAGATACATTGCTTTCCAACAATTAAAGAAAATGAAAGTGTTATATGGTTTGCCAAATGCTCTACCATGAGTTCTTTTAATTCACAAAGCAACCTATTCGATAGGTAGAAATGTTATTTTTATTTATAAATGAGAAAACTGAGACACAGAGAAACTGAGGGAATTATCCAAGGTTACATGGCAGGAAATCGGCAGAGACAAGTCCAGAATCCAAGTCTATTGACCCTAATCATGATGCTCTTTCTATAACATGCTTCTCCTGCTGTATTTTGCCTTTCCTTCTAGTATGATATCATTTTAACTTAAAAAGTTGCTCAATATAATTTTGTAATGATGCTGAGATGCTCAAAACAGAACTTAAAATTCGTAAGCAGCATCACTCAAAATTCGGAAGTTTCAGGATTCTCAAAGATATTGAAAAGCTACATGAAAGAGTGATCTCTTTGACGTTCTTGCGTGCGAGTTATATGCAGATTATAAAGGCATGAATATTTGGTTGCTTTCCCAACTCTGATAGATCAGATTTCTCTTGGGTACATCATACTGCCTTTTTATTAAGTAAGAGTTTGGCTTTTGTCATCTTCTATATCTCATTTTCAAATGGAATCGGGCTGAAATTTTCTATAAGAGGGCTTAATAATTCCATCTGCTATGATGAAGAAAGATAATTTATTTTTACCATTAGAAATTTTGACAGATGGACAGTCTAATTTTCTTGATTTTACAAAGAACTCATTCAAATCAATTAAAAGGTTAACAAACCAATAGAAAAAATGTGTAAGAGGTACTATCATGAATCTTATAATACAAAAATACAATGGCCAGTAAACAGATGAAAGATGCTTATGATAGAAGAAATAAATAGCAAAATAATGAGATACCTATCAACTTAAAAAAAAAAAATTTGGATAGTACTCTCTCCTGATGAAGGTATAAGGGGAAAAAGGCTCTCGTATCCTATTGGTGGAAGTGTAAATTTGAATACCCTTCTGGAATACAACTTGTCATTATCTACAAAAATTCAAATTGCACATATTCTTTGAAGAAGCAATTGCTTTACATGGATCTTACTATACGGATATATTGAAAGAGGTTCGCCCAGATCTAGGGACATCAAACTTCATTAATTACAGTATTATTTGTAATGGAAAAAAATACAAACGATTAGTTTCTATCAGGAGGGAATTGTGAAATAAAAGAAAGATAAATCCATAAATGCAAATACTGGTGTCTAAAAGATAATGTAAATTTGTATATGGAACAATTTTCAATATTTGGCAATAAGTAAAAAAAAAAAAACAAGTAAAGAGGTGATATAGTATGAGCCTTATTTTATGATTAAAAAGAAGAAAAATAAATTTAAAAATACACGTGAATACATGTATATATGTATTCTGCTGTGTCACTGTGAGGTGAAAGATTGGACGAGAAGGAGTCATTTCAGGAGAGGAGCGATAGCTTGTAATTTTCATTTTGTATGGTTTTTGCCCTGTTTCAATTTTCTATTTTCTAAGCAGATACATGTAATACTTTCTGTTTGCTTTAAGTGTTAATAAGGGATGTCTTCTCTACCTTTTACTAAACTGAAAAAAAAAAAAGGAAGAAAAGGAGAAAGCAAGGGAGGAAGGAGTTCCATGCTGATAAGGAAAACAAACAAATAAATAGTCCTGTCTACAAAGTAAATTCATAATATCTCCTATCCCAATCTAATAAAGGCCTTGCATTTCCTAAATCTCCTCTTTATTCTTTGGTGTGGCACAAAATGCTCCATTATGTTATAAAATGCATCCTTGAGCATCTGAAAACGCATCCTTGAGCATCTGAAAACGCTTTTACATTTGGATTGATTATTCACATCATGAAGCAGTTGGAGATCTAGGTCGCTGGAAATTATATCCAAAAAATCACCACTAGGGTTTCTTATTTCTTTATCTCTGACAAGTAAGATACCTGTTGTGATGCATCTTATGCTTGTACTGTGATATTGATCTTTAAGGAGCTGTGAGGTACTTAATATGCAACAGGATTTTATTAGTACATACTCTGAGCCATAACAAAGATTCCTTCCTTGACCAAATTCTAGTTGGGCTCCTCTGCACCCTCTTCTTGACTAGACCTTCAACTTTGGCCTATAAAAATTGCAGACTCTTGGCACAAATGATTTCATCCACTCTTGCCCTGCTTGAACAAACACTAGCACAGTTTCTAACAGCTCAAGGCTGCACTCCTACGATGACTCCAGCTCCCTTAAAGTATCTGCCTGAAAAAATGTAATGCTTCCAGGAGAATTTACTGTTTTCATCCAAGCCAAAACCAGATAGGCAGATAAGCCTCTGAAACCCCCACCTTCAAACAGATTTTAGAAAGCTTGTAATTAGAAATTACATCTCTGCCTTTGAGATGTAATTCTATTACCCAAAACAGTTTTGTTCAAAGATCTTGTAGTCAGGAATATAACTCTCCCACAGTCTGGTGGGAGGATCAGGGCCTAACTGCAGTGGGTGCCTTGCTTGCACTATGCCTCTTGTCCTAAAGATAGGAGACATTTGTTTATCTTCTGGATAAGCATCAATTAACAAACCCAGGTCATCTAGACACATGGATCAACCCTCTTAACACCCTATGGTCCTTTCCCTTAGCATACTTCAGCCTTTGAAAAGTCTCCTGCCTTTTATTTTGGCAAAGTTGAATTTGGTTCATGCTGGATCCTCTTCCCTAAAGCAATGGTTTGGTGCTGAGTAATATCTATCCTCACCACTTCAAATAATGTCTGGCTTTGTTTATCTTTAACAACAGGTCTCAGTAAATATCAGGTTATCAGGCCCGAACCCAGAACTCCCACAGTCATTCTTCCAAATCTCGTTGACATGATGGGCACTCCCTCTTCCTCCCACTAGTCCATTCTCATAATTAAACCTAAGCCATTATCATTGAACAGAAAAACACATAACTGCCTTTGGTCCAATCATCTACCCATTTCGTTTCTGTTGTTTCAGGGCCCTGTATGAGGGATGCCACATTGGGGCATCGGTAAAGGAAATCTTTTTAGGACAGTGTTGAAGCCATCTTTCGTCTCTTACTGCAATCTCTGCTACAGAAATCATGGACCTTAAGGTACTTGGAAAATAGGCTTGCTGATGTCATGTTGCCTTATATAGTTTATCAAAGATTGAATTCCAAAATTTTTTGTGCAGACTTATAAACGTGAAAATAGTCAATAAATAATGTTTGTGTCTCAGTGATTTAAATTAACTTTGTATTATTTTATAAAACTACATGTATAGAAAATATTCTCTAGATCCTCCTTTATAAGAAAGAGGGGCGATTGCTTTTTAATTGTATTTTTAAGCTTTAAATATGAAAAAAATATTAAACACAAACAAAAGTAGAATAGTATATCGAACCGCTGTCTACCCATCAGTGTTACAGGATTAACACATTGTCATATTTCTTTCATTTTCCTCCCCAAATGTACTATATTTCCTCCCTGAATACTACTGTATTTCTAATGATAATCATTAACAAAAAGAACTTCCAACCTAAATTGCACAGATGTCGACTGTGCACCAGCTGGGTGTTAGTAGCAATGGTACTAAAGTTGAATGCTGTCATTCAACTTTAAGAGGATTGTTACTTGCCAGCCTCAGAAGGTCATGATTCGGGTTTTATTCCAGTAACAGTGATGCATTTGGGCTGAGTCATGTGCAGTATCCTCTCCAGCCTCCCTTGCAACTGACAGCACGATTTCTGAGGCAGTTGGGTAGGGTTAAGAGTTTACTTAAGGCCATTGACTTACAACACAGTTCAATGGCTGAACTGACTTCACTGTCAGAAGAAGCCTGTCCCTTAGCCTAACGACTTCACATAGACCAACAAGTTTCTAGGACATAAGACTAGTTGAATAGTTTTCTGCTTAAACCAGAGATACACTGAGATTCTGAGAAGAAGAAAAGGAAGGCTGATGCCTTGCATTGGTGAAAGAAGGCATTTTGGGGGCATTTTCAAGAGAAGGATCTGGGGATATATTTGTTCAGCCTAAGGAGTGGAATGCTTAGAAGAGTTTCAGATAACTTTATTTGCCATGTCAATAAGTAACAGTGGCTTGACATTTTTACCAGATGGGTCATCTTTTAAGTAAATGATAGGTATTAGGATGTCCCAACTCAGAGAATAAGGATATATCTCTTCAAATTCATATTTATAAATACCATCAAGATGCCTTCAATTTTATAAAAAGTTCTTGGCAGATGATCATCCTATGCTAAAGACTAAGCATAACAAATATGATTGTCATAATAAAATATAATGTATACATTGATCTAAAATGTAAATAATGCGTGTGATTGCTGTGATGTATCCAAATTTGACATAGTTAACTACTAATGTAACCAGCAGTGAATATAAACTTTTACCCTGACGTGACAGTTCTGTGTCTGTAAACACAATCAAACAAGACAGCTGTAATAATGTGTTATTTTAACCCTTTGAATTTATCATCTGCTCTTTGGTAACAAAATGTTTATCCTACTCAGCAAAAAATTGACAATCATAATTAAACAATTTCCCATGGTAACATCCAAGACAAAAAAAACAGTTGGGATGAAGAATATAATGTTAAATAATCTTATTCTATTTTCTTGTTTATCCTTCCCAGAAGCTTTTTACAAAAAAAACCTGGGTAAAATACATTCAGTGACATCTTTATTTCATTATATATCTTATTAACTCTTAATCTTTAAAAATGAAAGCCTCTTTAAAAAAATTACTCACATAAAGTTTTTGTACTCCTGTAGCTCAGTGGCTCTCAGTTCACTTTTTGTGAAGAGTGGAATTTTATCTTCAAGTGAGATTTTTATTTGAAAATCCAACATGTAAAAGTGAATAATACGAAACTGTTCTGATTGAAAAAGGGCATAGAGAGCTCAGAGTCTTACCTACTAAGTTTCTCTTTAAGGGAGGAACTTCAGACTTTATGCCAAGCATACTCTGAAAACCACTGCTTGAGCCCATCATAAGGAAATTTGTTCTTCATTCCATCCCAAGCAAGTCCAATCAGTGTCCACTCTACTGTTGAAGATGGCTGTAATAGACAGGCTGTGTTCCATGCCTGTGAGGTACACTGCCTCCTGCTGGGATTCTGCCAGACACACAGTCTCTTCTTTGTCCTTCACACTTGTGATTCTTAGCCACAGGTGACTGGACTAGGGGTGGGCCCCTGATCTAAGGACAACTATCGATAGGCTTCCCAGTGACATTTAAGTAACTTGGCATGAGAATTCTGTCCAAGGGGGCACACCATTCTGGAGGGTCACACTTTGACTTATCACTCTCTGTGGGGACTTTGAACCTGAGATATACAGAGAGGAATGTAGCAAGAAGATATACAGAAAGAAGGCAGAAAGCAGAAGCTTTGAGGTAAAGAGAATTATAGTTAGTTTGTTATGGTAGGAGTAGAGAATGGGAGGAGAGGCAGCTAAGTCATTATGATGGCAGAGCACCAAAGGGAGCGGTGGATGCCTGTTTCAGAGTGCCCTTGGCCAGATCACTGGTACTGCTCACATGCCTCGAAGGACAGCTCCATTAGTGAAATGCAAATTAAAATTACAATGTAATATCACTACACTCGATTAGAATATCCTGGTGGACTGATTATAGAACTTTGGTGCATAGTTTTGTTGATTTTAATAAAAGTACATGTATCTTAACCATAGATCAGATGAGACTTTTAAAGGGCAATGTTTTTGCAATTTCTGTCCTCCATAGATAATTGATGTCATAAAAAGTTAAGAACCTTTATCTGACCTCTGCACAGTTAAAATCCAACTATGTCTGGGCAGATGTAGATATATATGAGGCTATGTTCATACACCGTTAAGAAGAGGCTATTCTAAAGCTTGAGTAATGCTGTTATACATTACAGAATCATTTTTAGTGTTCAGAAACATGAAAAATTTTTTTACCTAATAAAAATTGTAGGAAAGTTTTTGTTTTGACCTCTAATTGTAATTGAATATGAATCTCTTTAATATGATGGCTATCGAAGGTAGCACCTTGTTTTGTTGAAAATTAACTAGCTTCATATTTGGTTAAATAATCTAGGCTATGAATAACTGTGTAATTATCCTAGAAAGTAAGATTTCTCTATCAAATGTTAAATGTTAAATTCTTCACTTGAATCTACTAACCTTTTTTTCTGCATTTTGTTTCCCATACTATAGTATGCTTCCTGTGAAACTCAGATGTCTCCGACTCTAATGAGAAAATAACAAAAGAAAATGGGCATAAGGTATTTCTTTTTGATTTAGGGGGTTATAATCTCCAGGAGGTCAGTGACTACTTCTTTTGTGACTTTTCAAAAATGGACAGGACATTGTAGAGCTCTTAATAAATCTTAAATCATTAAACCAGTTTTTGATAAGATTTGCACTGCACCACCAAGCTGTATAAGTGGGAGCGAGATAAACTTATAAATCACTTATCATCTGAGCACCAAGGATTGTACCTGTCTCTAGGTTCTCATTTTCTAGATTTGAGAGACTTAACTACAGCCTAGAGAGAAGCTCCTCAATGCCTTGGAGAAATGTTCATTTTCTAAAGAAGAATGGTAGTTGTTGAGGGCAGAGATTGGAAGGAGAGAGGTTCCTTCAATCTAGTTTCTCATACTATGGATTTTGACTAAAAGATTAAGCAGCTGCAGAATGTTTAGTGACTTTCTATTACTTTCTATACTGAGAAATGTCTATTCAGATCTTTTGCTTATTTTGTAATTGAGTTATTTGTCTTTTTATTATTAAGCTGTTAGAGTTCTTTATGTATTCTGGACACAAGTCCCTTATCAGATGTACCATTTGCAAATATTTTCTCCCATTCTGTGGGTTGTCTTTTTGCTTTCTTGATGGTGTCCTATGATGCACAAAAATGTTTAGTTTTGATGAAGTCCAATTTATCTATTTTTCTTTTGTTGCTTGTGCTTTTGGTGTTATATCTAAGAATCCATTGCCGAATATAAGAACATAAAATTTTAACCCTCTATTTTCTTCTAAGAGTTTTATGCTTTTGTCTTTTTATCAAGACTTTTGAATTAAGTCTTATATATCATGTGAGGTAAGTATCCAACTTCATTCTTTTTCACGTGGCTATCCAGTTGTCCCAGTACCATTTGTTGAAAAGATTATTCTTTCTTCTTGAATCATCTTGATACACTTGTCAAAAATAAGTTGACCATAGACACATTGGTTTATATCTAGACTCTCAATTCTGTTTTATTGATCTATATATCTCTCCTTATGCCAACGTTACTACTGTGCCAGTACTGTTGCTTTGTAAAGAATAAGATTTTGCAAACATTCACAGTTGACACAGTCCAGGACTTTATGACTCTAATATTTTCAATTAATGATAAACTAGCATTTAGATTGACAAATACTTTGGCTCAACTACCTATTAAAACAGTATACTATATCAGTAGTAAACTGTTATAAAGTTGCTTGCTACCTACTCCATTTAAGATAAAATTAATGTAGCAAAAGTAAGTCAAACTTTCTTATCTGACTGTGCTTTTAGAAAGCCGAATTCTCAAAATAAAGTAAATTATGCAATTTTGGAACTGGAAAAAAAACTTAGATATTATCTAGGCCAATATTTGTTTTTGGTTTTGTTTTTACAGATTAAAAAGCAGACCTTGACACTTTTTCTGTATTTGTCTTCTGGATACTTGGCACCAGGTAGACCCCCCCCCAAAAAAAATATTATTAGTAAAGGTAATATTAAAACAGAAACATATTGAGAGAATGATTGTTATATTTTGAAACAAAATACTAAGTAAGTAAGCTAATAGAAATCATGGAGGGATCGATTCAGGGATATTTTCTTCTTCTGTATACTTTGTATATTTAAATTTTCCATAAGTCTATTTAATATAGATTTCTAGTGTGTTAATTTAAAGGTACATGGTTTTATTGACGTTGAACAAAAGCTTAAGCGCTCTGCTATGGACTGAACTGTGTATCCCTAAAATTAATATGTTGAAGCACCAACCCCCAATGTGTCTATATTTGGAGATGGGGTCTGTGACAAAATGATAAATGTTAAATGAAGTCATTAAGATAAAGCTTTAATCCAATAGGTGCTCTTCTAAGAAGAAAAAGGGACACCGGAGCTCTCATTCTGCCATGTGAGGACACAGCAAGAAGGCAGCCCTCAGCAAGCCAGGAAGAGATTCCTCACCAGAAACTGAATCAACCAGCAACAAGATACAGACTACTCAGCCACTAGAAAAACAGATTTCTGTTGTTTAAGTCATCCAGTCTATGGTATTTTGTTATAGCAGTCTAAGCTAATACATGCTCTTAGATGCCAAAAAAAAAAAAAAAAAAAAAATCAATACAATTTCTCCAGATCAGAACATAGCTCAGCAGTTCACACAGTTGTATACAGTTGTTTTTCACTGTAGTTATACATAAAAGGATTATATGAACATGTAGGAGGTATAAATCAGAAAGGATGCCTCCAAACTGCTGTAGATAATCATCACTTAGAGAATAAATGGTTGCACGACAGATGAATATAAAGCTTGATCTCTAAGATGAATGAGATTCAATCCATACCACATTTTTTAACAGCAATGAAACAGATTATTTTCTAATTAAAATATTTATAAAAGAAGGAAGAGGAGGAGAAGGAAGAGGAGAAAACGAAGAAAAAATGAGAAAACAAAACAAATAATTTTTCGTTCTTTTGTTTGTAGGCATTAGATGACTTTTTAAAAAGTTAAAAAGTACATCACAGTATTTAAATGCCAGTATAGGAAAGCTGACTCAATAATATAAGTGCTATGTATACACTTAGGCTAAGAATTTAAATGTTCCACGTGAGCTCATGTGTGATTGAAACAAAAAAGCCCTAAGACTGAATATTTTAAAGAAATTTATCAACTCAAAGAAAAGAATTTTAATCTTAAAAAAGGAAGCTATTACTGGAACTACAATAATGTACTTGAACTAATGCAATCCAAAGAAGAATCTTAATAATCAAAACTTTAGGAGCTAAAAAGCCATTGAAAAATTCTTTAAAATACTAAAGATTTTTAAATTCCCAATCAAGAATTGCCAAAGGAGCTGCAAGGCTCTATGGGCCAGTTGAATAAAGCCATTCTATACACTTTACTTAACAGCTTCATTCATTCACCTATTAATTCATTCATTTATCAATGGTTCTGGAAGACTTTTGGTAATATTTCCTTTTTATAGGCCTGACTCCTCTAACACATATGACCCAATGAGTGGTATCTTTTGAGAAACAAGTGGGCTTAACAAATGAGACCACTGTAATTGCATTAAAGTTTCACGAACATTTTTACAGAGGGCATTTACACTTACTGCAACATATAGAACTTGTGATGCCTTTAAAATATCTGTGAAAACTCTCTTAGTGTCCAAATGAAGGACCTGCTTATTAAACCCACCTCCAATTAGGTAAAAGAATTCTGCCCAAGAGGAGGTAATTTAGTGTTCACAGTACCTTCCTTTTAAGAAGCAGTTTGCCGATGTACTTGGGGAGCATGACTATGACTTTCAGACAAAACCTTTTCATGTTCACCCCCTGAAGTTGCAAAACCAAAGGTCCAGATAGTGGCAGACACTGAAAGAGGAGTAAGGGATGAGGGAGGAAGAAATCACACCAGCAGAGGCCAGAATGGAATGCAGACACCATGGGAAGGTAGTTTAATCCTGGTTTTGGCAGAGAATAAAGGAGCACTTGAAGAAGCTTTTAACTGCTCTCTGATTCTTGTGCCTGAAATTTCCTCCATCATTATTGTAAAGATTCCAAATTTAGCTTAATCCAGAGAAGGTTGCCACCTTTGGTTTTGGCAAGGTTCTAAAACCACTATCCATTTATTCATTCCTACAAACATTTATTGATAATCTATATGAGCATGACATTATATTCAGACCACAGTGAATTAGACTACAACTGACTTAATTTGCTGTATTTTTTCTTTTTGAAAAGGTATTAACTTTGAAGTAATTCGAACAAAAGTTAAAGTCTTCATTTGCACATAGTTTAACTTCCCAAATGTTCTCCCCACTTCTATCTCCAGACTGTGTTGTTAAACTTTGCTTAATAATGGCGGGGAACATGAAAGCAGAAGCTTTAAAAACTTGTTGTGCATTGGAGTAAAATAATCTGGATGGAATTACCTAGCTCTTTAAGATTTACTTGCCCTGAGGCCTGTCCCTTGGTGGAAGTCCCTGATAATAGCTTCCATTCCTGCTTTACCTGAAGAGCTTGGTAGTAGCAACCTTAAGGGTTTCCAGATAGAAACAATTGTTCTTTTCTTGAGAAAGCTCTACAGGTCAAGTGATGGCAGGAACAGCGGGAGCAGCCTCTGTTAACCCAGGGCAGCCTAATTTTGAGTTAGAATGTGCATATCTGGCACAGATCTGTTCTCAGGGGTAATGTTCTCTTGTCTCTCGCCTGGTGTGCTAAGGCAACAACCCAGTGTGGAGAAAGCTGCATTTCCAGCATTGATGGAAGAGACTGTAATTTAGCTGAAAAGCCTTTGCCTAGACCTCAAACATGTCTGCTTTCAAGTCATAAGCTGCACTTGGAGGTGGAGGATCTGAGTTTGAATCTAAATTCCATCAGTTAATCTAGCTGGGCCTCAGTTTCCTCTTGGGTCAGTTGAGATTAGCATCTGGCTCCCAAGTTTGCAATAAAGATAAAATGGTAAAAGAAAAGCCTTTAAGGTAGTGGTGCATAGTAGACACTCAAGAAAGTATGCTGAATCTGAATTTTGCTTGCTGCTTTATCTACATAAGTGTTTATTATGGCTTTGTATCTCTTCCTATCACCAGAAAATCTTTAGTAATTTACTCAAGTTCCAAACTTAGTTTTTTCCCTTCTAACTGGAATCACAGGAGGAAAGAATTATGTACACTCATGAAGGGATTCACCAGTGTGCTTCTCTAAATAAAATATGTGGCTCTCAAAACCATATATATTTTTTTAATTACACTTTTGGCTACCATTTGGGCACATATATTTCTCTGAATATACATTCCACAAATTTCTGATGCAAACTAGAAGGCAGTTCAGATCTGGTAAGAGCTGACCAAATCCTTCCAGTCTCTCTCTTCCTTTTTTAGGGGGGAGTTGGATTGGGATCAATGACAAGACATGAAGTAAGAAGTGTTATTATCATGGGATGTGATAGCCTGCTGAAATGTGAAAGGGTTAAAGGATAATTAAAACCTGAAACTGGACAAAGGAAGTCTATACCTTAGGCCTAGTTTCTGGAGCCCCTAACCGCATTCTGTTAATCATGAAACTTGTAACAATGAGCTCATACGCTAACTGCCAATTTTAGCCTGTGTAACCCTGCTTGCTTGCGTGGCATGAAAAATAATCAATTTTATATAAGCTGAAAATTACTGTTTGGCCATCGCCCATGGGAACACTGGCTATTGCCCATGGGAACATAGGCAATCATCCATAGGAACATAACATTCTAACAACAAGCTTTCTGCTTCTGTACTCCCACTTACACACCTGACCAGTGGGTTGACAGGTAGTGAATAGGAGAAAGATGGACCTTTGTGTTTAAGACAGAATGAGGAATAGAATTTAGGGCTTAAAAACCTTGTATCTTGGCATTTCGGGGCTGCTCCTTTGGAAGGACAGCCGCCGGCTAATAAACTGCCTCTATAATCAAAGCACTCAGGTTGAGTCTGGTTATTCCGGTCACAACAGGGATAGTGCAGTAAAAAGCATAACAACTTTTTTAGCAAACAATCACATTTAACGAAGCCTCAGTGTCCTCATTTCTAAATTAGGGATGAAAATGCTTAATGGTTAATACACATAAGCTGCCTAACACAGTGCCCAATACATAGTATATGTTCAAGAAAAGTTGGTTATTTTCACTCGTCTGTGAACCCTAAATCTGCCCGTCTGAATCCTCACAGCCTTCTCTTATACCACATACTACACCCTGACTTATAGTATAGTAAGGGAATGCAAGTCCTCTCCTTTCTCCTTCAGGACCTAGACTGTGTCTGGTCCATCTTAGTGCATCCCAGAGGCCTGACTCAGTACCCAGCATTCACTTATGGGATAAATAAGACATTCCATATAACTCAGAGGAGACTGAAATTTTGAAGAAAGCTAGTTCTATTAGCAAGTTTTTGATAATAAACTCTAAAGGCAAACCTACCAAGAGTGGGGGAATATTAGTTAAGAGAAAGAGAAAGTCTTGAGATGTGAGGTCAAGATAGTGTTGAGTTATGGGGTCAAGATGGTGGAGTAAATAGATCTTGATCTCACCTCCTCCCACATACACATCAAAATTACAACTAAATATAGAACAACCACTGCTGAAAACCACCTGAAGGCTAGTTGAACAGACTCCCTATAACTGAGGATATAAAGAAACCACATTGAAAGTAGGAGGGACAGAGACGTGGTCTGGTCAGGTCCTACATCCATTGTGTGGCAATTAAGAATCAGGACAGATATCTGGGGAGGTCCCCCTTGAGAAGCGAGGGGTCCCAGGCCCACACCAGGCTCTCCAGCCCAGGGCACCTGTGCTGAGAAGAGGAGGAGTCCCCATAACATCTGGCTTTGAAAATCGGCCCAGATTATGTCTGAAAGAGAAGAGGGGCTGTGGAAGACCAAGATGCTGCTTTTAAAGGG